TTTAAAGAAAGAGCAACTTGTTCAGTAAACCATTTAAAAAAAAATAAAAAAAAGTTTAGTTTTTCCCCCTGCTGTACCGAAATCATACCGAACCGTGACGTTAAAACCGAGGTACGTACCGAACTGTCATATTTGTGTACCGTTACACCCCTATCGTTGATACATTTTTTAGCTATATTGCCCATCCCTATGATGAACTACTATAAAGAGTGATAAGACATTCTCACAAGTTACTCAATAGATGATGGAGTTGTCATTTAGTATCTCTCATGCCTTTCTCGTACCTGTTCGCCGTTGGTTGTAGTTTCACTTTCTTTGTGCCTGTACTTCCAGCAGCTGTGGGTTTGTCAGGATATGTGCGCTTCAAGGAGGTGTGATGGGAGATTCAGACAGGGGTGCAGTCTGTACCGGGCACTCCAAACATTCCTTAAATACTTTAGTGCTGGACATGGTTACTCATAATGTGCAATCTCCTGTGCTACTGCTTACTTGCTTAGCATTTGACTTTGTCTTTTAAAGGCAGTGTTTAAATATGTCACTATTAATTCAGTTAGAGCTTTGTTTCAAGCAAATGTGTGGTATTAAATGTTGCATGCTACTTATGGTATGTTTGGAGTTTTTAACTTAATTTGACTTAATATTGTTTTTGAATGACATTGACTTTCTGATTTTTCTGAAAACTGATTTTTTATGAAAAGTGGCTGTATGAGACTGACCAATTTTTCAGTTTCCATTTTTTTTGCCTAGAGCTCTGATATGAATTTCAGATCTGTTCCATGGAAATTGCTGGACAACATTGCCTTGTCACTAGAGATTGAAGAATATTGTTTTTTTCCCCAACCAATACTTATTACTTTTCAATAACCAATTTTTGTTCTATTTCTGATATTTCAGTATTAAAAAAAGTATTTGTTTTTAATTTTTTTAAACAAGTGTCTTGTGCACACCAAGGATAAAAGTATTAAGTTCTTTTCACTAAAAAGCTAAAAAGCACTAATTAAAGTATAAGGGCGCAACTAATAAATCACATCAATGCTTGTTTAGCTGTTGTTTCATAAGACAATGTGTTATTGTCATAAGCGATCAGTTTTTCACTTGTAGGAAAGCAACAGTATTATCTAATGTTTTAAAATTACAGTGTTTTTGATATGTTTAATGCTGCATTTGGTTCACCATAAGATGATCAAGGATACTGTAACTGAGTTGAGACTATTGGTTATTGTTGAAGCCACAATGTAAGTTGTTTAGTAGTGCATTACCTAATTGCCCATCAGCTGCAAAGTGATGCCACTGTTGAACTTGCCTGTGTGTTTGGTGAGTCCCTGTACTGAATAGAGGTCGACCGAATAATTGACCAGCCGATTAATTGGCCGATTTTTGGCATTTTTTATTTCATCGGCATCGTCCGATTGTGCTGCAAATTAGGCCGATTTATAGGCAGGCGCATCTGCGGGCAGCTTAGCATTGTTGCGGCGCGCCGGACAATCTTTCTCTGGCTGCGTGAGAGACGGAGCAACTCTCACGACTCTCTCAGAGACTGCAGCAGCTTCTTGTTCACACACAGCTTCAGCTAATGATGGCAGGGCAAAACAGACCATTTCAAAAGCATAATTACGTTTTACCCTACTACAATTGATGCCGGAAAGTTATCATATTCATAAGTGCAACAAGTCATTTGCATGTGAAAAAAGTAAAAACACATGCAGTTCAGACGAAACTTTTGGGCTGATTATAACCTGCACGTTAACTTTCCTCATGAAATGTGTGTGTAGTAGGGCTGTCAAAAAAAATTATAATTTCAAATATTCGTCGAATTTAAAATAAAAATCCACATTTGAATGCAAAAACGTTGCATTTGAATTTTAGGTGTGCATCAGGCAGCCTTATCAGTGGCGCACGAGATGCGATGATGATGTAAGTGTCATTGCATAATAATGTTTTTGTTAACCTATCCAGTTGAAGCCACTAGATGCGGCGCTGCACAATTAATCGAATTTCTAATTCTAATTGCGATTACAATTACGGATGCCACAATTATGTAATCGCTCAAAGCGGCAATTAATCATTCAAAGTCCACTTATGTTATTGTGCATGCTTAAGACATGCTTTTTTTCTATCTACAGGTTATCTTAACGGTTTTCCCATTGTCTTCATTTTAATTTTAGCATAACATTATAATACAATGTATATTTTTACTTTTTTTTAAATAAAGAAGAAACCAATCCAATGTATAGTTGACATTTGAGGCTTAATTCTATAGAGAAGCAATAAAGGTTTTTCAGTTAGTGTTTTCAGCTTGTTTATTTTCATATAAAAATATAGCATGCAGTTGCTTCAAACAATGATCATTCAGTGCAAACTGTGATAATCGGAATTAAGAATTGCAATCACAATTTCAAGGGAATAATCGACAATTATGAT